CGCGACGCCCGTTTTTCTGTTCTTGTTCCTTTGCGAGAAAATGTAATTTTACGTCACTGTTGATTTGTTGCCGATCATAAAAGGTTCCAAATCACCATCAACTCAGCAGAGTACTATTCAATGAACATTTATATTAGACGCGACGCTAGTAAACGTAAACATCTCCCGGAACGCGTTTGATTAGTCGTAAATAAATAAAATTAATTTATAGTCCGATTTGACAAGTCAATTTAAATTCATTGACTTAAAAACCAATAAAAATTACGTGGAATTTGAATAATTGAATTATACAGGATCTAAATAATAATGCCTAACTCTCATCAGATCTGCCCCAGAAATAGAATCCAAAACTCAATTCAAACCTGGTTATTTTATATTCTGTTATTTTTAAAATAAAATTTGATAATTTATATAACTCATAGTAACCATATAGTAACCATATAGTACTCATGTAACCAATGTTTTGATTGTTATTAATAAGAGAAGTAAAATATTTGAAAAATATGAAAAATTCAAATTTCTTAAAAATAAGGAAAGAAATTAAGTACATCTAGTTTTAGTCTTAATATCCGGAGGAGTTATTATTATATTACATTTATATTCCTGTATTTTTCAAATTAATTTTTGATTAGTAAGTAATTAAATTAAAGGAGTGAACAAATTAAGGGTGAATTCTGGTCTAGAAGTATGAATTTTTGTGGTTTTTAAAAGAACCAAAAAAGGCGAAAAATATAATATTTTCACAAGTTAATAGTTAATGTTTTGAGAATAAAAAATGATTTAAATTAAAACTAGTCATAAAGTTTCAATTCTGGAAAGTGTTGAAGTAATAAAGATGAAGGTGGAGTATCTAACAAAATTAGCATCTAATCATACACGTGGTTTTAGCCCTCCAAATAATATGAAGAAATATATATTACTAATATAGAATAATCGTGTAGACTACGACCAAGGATAAAAATTTGCACTTAACCATACCCATGATTATAGCCCTCCAAATAATCTGAAAAATATACATTATTAATATAGAATAATCGTATTAACTACGACCAAGTACAATTTTTTTCACAAATTAGAGACTGTCTAAAAAAAATATTTTTTTGCAACTTTTTTGTTATTCTCGAATTTTTAAAAAATAGTAAAAAATAGAATTTGGAAATGAGCTTAGTTCACACATTAAAAAACTGAAAATCTGGAATAATTTTAAGTAAATCGGTCCAGTAGAAGTTGAGAAATCGTGAGTATCGTATCAAAAAAGACAGTTTTGAGAAAACGAGCTTAAAGCTTCGTGAAGGAATTAAACGGAGGAGGATTAACGCAGTCAAACAGCTGTATCTCCGAAAATAATTTAAATTTTGAAAAATTCTTTTGCACACATATCAAAAAATAAATTTATTTATCCACCTATTCTAGACCAAAACACCTCCTGAAGTATGCAGAATCTAAATGATAATAAGATACTATGCTCAAATCCTGCTTCAAACATGCAGTTACATTCAGTCATTTTTAAATCAATATTTGATATTAAATTTGAAATTCGACTTCTTGTTCTAACATTACAATCTTTTGTAGAGAAATATAAAAAAGAGCAAATATAAACGACAGTCCTTTACTTTTAGCCTTGACCCTAGTAGTAGAGACAAACCTATAGCCTTTTTATCCCTATCTTATATTAATCAATTTTCAATTAATGAGCAATAAAAATTAAAAGAAAAAGTTCAAATATCCAGAATGTTATTTTTGTGATAAACTACTGAACCAACAGCACTGTGAATTAGTTTATACACATCACGACGGTTCAGAATAAAAATTAGCACATAACTTCAAACGCTAGTTTTAGCAGTTAGCGGTTTATTTTACTTAGTTCTCCTTAGTTATAATAATTTTTGTGATATAAAGTAAAAAATTGACCAGCTTACCGTCTATCCAAGTCTCGCACAAATGATAAAAAGTACTCAAGACAAGCGTGAATTCATCTGAACTGCATAAACGCGACAATCCGTTGCTAATACTGGTTCGCAACGCTTGATAGCAAAACAGATACGCCCATTTCGCACCTTATTATTCTTTATTGCAACTACTAATTATTTACACCTTGTCTATTTGACGGAGTCATCGAACACCAAGTCAAAAATCAATATTAGAAAAAAATGGAATAAATAAAAAGACTCTTAGGGTGGCAAATTCCAGTTGCCAGTAATTAATGATGATAAACTTTGTTGCACTAGTACTTACTAAATGGTAACAGTAATTATTATCAAATATTTACTATAGATTTATTATTAATTGTTGTAAGGATTTGCGACTACTAATCCAAAGTATGTAACATAAAACTACACCGAGTTTGTAAGAAGTTTCTTTGTTACAAAGATTTCATCTCCATCCGCCAAGAAATCTTTTAAGACACGTCACGAAAGCCATAAGTGCCGTGAAGGAAAATCATCACGCAATTCTGAAATGGATAAACGCCATCGCCCATCGTGATAGTAATCGCACTACAGCACGGTTATTAAATAGAATGAATATACAATCGTATAAAATAAAATAAAGAATATGATGATATAGTGTTTCTTTGTATTAGGTCGCTTCCCTCCTGACCGATTAAAAGATCGGAGACAGTCAACTTGAAGGGTAGTAGTAAATGACAAGGATAAAAAACTATAGGTCTAAAAATTTTTTTTTATTATCTCTTTTATTTACAACTGTCCAGTAAAGGACATTCTAAAGATAATGAAAATTAAAATTCATCTCCTTTTTTGCTCCCATTTACATAAAATTGTGTACTATTTTTTAGGCAAAATTTACCTTTGGCCTCTATGTAAAATTTCTTGATTTTTAAGGTGACCATATTTTTTTTAGGTCAAAACCGGTGGATTTATAAATAACTTTAATATGATTTGAATAAAAATTACTAGTAAGAACTTTATTGCTCAATTATGTTATATAATATTTAGGCTATATTGAGCCGTCTTTGAAATTTTGAATTTAGCAATATATTGTTTGGTATAAACATATTTGTTGTATATATCATTTTCAGATATTTTATGTTATGAGACATGAAACACCAAGTCAAAAATCAATATTTGAAAAAAATTTAACGCGAATAAAAGGACTCTTGAGGTGGCAAATTCCAGTTGCCAGTAATTAATGATGATGAATTTTGTTGCACTGGTACTTACTAATGGTAACAGTAATCATTATCAAATAGTTATTAATAATTGTCATAAAAAATTTGCGACTACTACTTCAATTAATTGTTGAATAATGTAATTCGGTAATTGTTATTTTATTATCAATTAATTGCGATTCAATTTGAACCAAACCTCGGGACAATCCGGGATAAAAATCTAAATCTGGGACAATTATTGCTCTTGAACAAACCCGGGACCTTATGATTACACATAATATCAGCATAATTACCATAATCATTAAGAGGGTATTCTTGCCTAAAATTTTTAAAAAGTCTATTTTTTGTATTTTAAAACTTAAACTGTTCAAGAATATGTCTATAAAAAATTTACCAAAATTTCAATTGTTTTTGGTATCAACCCACGATTTCTGTATTTCTACTGAAGCGATTTATTTGAAATTTTCACAGAGTTTTGTTTATAGATATTTCTTCAGTATCAACCACGCCCATCGCCAAATTCTCTATCTAATTTTTACTATCTTTTCATATCAAAAAAATATTTTCAGAAAAAAAAAATACTTATTGTCCGTTACTCATATGGATGCAATACAATATTCTAGATTTTTTTCTGAATTTTGTTTAGAGAGGTAAAAAAGTAAAATAAAATGCTCTAGAGTAGAATAAAATACTCTAGACAAGAACACCCCCTTAAAAAACTAACATTTGCTAAGACAATCCCTACTTTGAGAAAAAATCTTTTAGCTTGCCCGTAACTCATACGGATGCAATGCAATATTCTAGATTTTTTTAGATTGTTTAGAAGGGTAAAAAAATGAAATAAAATGCTCTAGATTAGAATAACCCCTTAACAAACCAACATTTGAACATGGAATTCAGAAGAAAACTGTAGTAATAGCGAGCAACAAGAATGAAAAAATGACAGCGATTTTCAAATTAAAAAATTTGATATTTAGATATATTATCCATTACACTTTTTTTCCTCTTTTGAGCAAAGTTCATATATATCGATTCTTATATAGTGTCGCAAGTAATTTTGTAGCCGTGCTGAGAAATCGTTGTGTTTAATTAAAAGACTAGACGCTATACAACTTATCCAAACAATGGGCTTTGAAGATTTAATAATAGACAGCATAGCGAATTATGAGTTTATGGCCTTAAAGTCGCTACTGTATTTGAACTTTGAGAAAATTATTACCTTCGATGCACGCATGCACGGTTTGAACTAATAGGGTGAAAATAACTGACTCAAAATGATATAAAACTGTGCAACTTTTTGAAATCTGCTAAAAATATCATAATTGTTTGGTGTACATCCCCCAGAAAGAGAGCAGATATTTTCACCAACTCCTGATTTTGGAGAACTACACTTCTCTGTATCAAAAAATACTTTATGTTCAGATAACAAGTGGAGTGAGATAAAATCTTTGATATTGTAATATAAAAAAAATTAAATTCACATTAATTTTGCGTCGCCACCTGAGGCGAAATTTGAACAAATTGTAGCAATTAAATCAATCACTCAGTAAATAGGTCGAAACGTTTCCGTTATAACACGGTCGAATAAAATTTATTGGTGGTATAAAAGTCGACATATGTTGTTTTACGATATGCCCTTAAAATATTTCATGCAAACAAAGCATTTAATGTAGCTTTGGATTAAAAGTGCAATAAAATTTCGTTTCTTTTTCGAAAACATGCGGGAATTACAGAATTAATTGCAGGTGCCAAAATTGGTAATGGATATAGTAATGGTAGATATAGTAAATCAAAAAATATATCATAAACACATAGAACAATAATATAGAATTATATCCAGTAATGGAGTAGAAGATAGATGTGTATATATTACCACACTTGCCTGCTTGCAGCCTCAGATCCGCAGAACTAATCTTCCAGCAAATTAATTATTATTTCATTTAATTATTTATAAAGATAAAAATATTATCAAACACAAATTCATTTTAAATGTTGATTGAAGAATCCGTGCTCCAGTGATCTGCTCTGCAAAATGTTGATTGCTGATCCTCAATGATGTTGATGTCTTTGGTGTGTTGATTGTAGGTTATCATTAAAACTAATTTAACACTAAGAATTATTATTAAGGTTATCGAATAATACCAAGAATCTAAAATCTAACAACAATTATACATTAATAGAATGGAGAAGAAAAATACACTCTTATTTATTAATTTTAGCAAATAGCTCGGTGGACTCGATTTAAACACGATTTAATTTAATTTTTTTCGAAAAATGGATTTTGGTTATTTATCATCATCCATATTGTCGCGTTGAATTTCTCAGTTCACCGCCGTCGTACATGTTCAAATTGTTCATACGAGAATATTCACTGACGACTAATTGGCCTGCCATGTTTGAAAAAAAATATTAATATAATTTTATAGCATAAGTACTAAATTTAAAATAACCTAATTAAATTATATATGTTCTGTCATGGATATACTCACACCACATGCCAAAGTAATAATTCTACAAAAAAATATCAAGAATATAAAATTACTATTGCTGTAGTTGATATTTTTTGCTGATCTACAAACGTCGATAAAATGATAAATCTAGTTTGAAATGAAATGCTTTTTTATTACATATATATAATTTCTTTTTTTCCTGGGTCGCGTGCAAAGTTCTTTCGACAAATAAATATCCACATCCACAAGATAAAACGATAAAATAGTTTCAAAGTGCATCTAGTTAGAAAGAAAATTGCTTTATTACAAAAACCATGTAATCTAGAAATGAGGTGTGCATGCAGAACTTAGACCAATTATAAAGTTATACAACTCACCACATAATTAGATCAAATGAAATTTAGAAATAAACAATACTTCCTAAGTTAATTAAATTTTACTGGGTAAATGTAAATTGTTTCTAATATATTCTTAGAGGTCCTTATAAATAGCAATAGCAATACGTTTTATATAAATATATATAACGATCAGTTAATGATGCAATCAACTATATAACAATTTCCAATACACTACTTATCATCAATTTTATGAATTAGCAAAAGATCTCATGTATGAAGGTGTTCTACACTACCTCAAGTACAAACTAGTTATTGTATAAGTAAGTTTAATTTAATATTTACCGCTGGCGATAATATGCTACCGTACTTATTAATAATAAGTTCGATAGAAGTGCTTTTCAACATGCAACTATCAATTTTGTAGTCACTTAATGACTTCCAATTAATAATCGTACGATATTGAAAATTACTTGAAATTGTCCATTTGAGCTACAATCAAATGGAAAATGGATTGATGGAAATAAATTTGGTTTTGCTGATTTGTCTGTAGGCTGGATTTTCCGTTTAAATTTTAAAAATTTAATATTTATTATGAATATTGATACTAACCGTTGTGAATATTCTTAATGGCTTCTGATATTCCACCAGACAATCCCAATATCGCGTAAACAAATGGCAACATTTCGAAAGGATATTTTAGTTGCTCCACAATTTGTTGGCTTTCTTCTAATAGAGCTTTCACTTTTTCGGAAAATTCTGAAAAAACAAAACAAAACATGAATTCATAAATTTTGTGAAATGCAATTGAAAGCAAATTACTCTACTTTGATACCATAATTTATTGTTCATGCTCAGAGAAATATAAATTTTATATCGTCAGTACAGCACTATCTCGAGTAATTAATTTTAATTCAATTACAAACTCTTGTACCATCATTAGTAACATCAAAACATCTGCCATTATATATAATATTTAATATATAATAAACAATTATGTTTTTCTGAATTTTATTATTTCTAATCCATTTCCACACTCCACATTTTCTCTTTGCAAACACATTTGTAGTAAAAATTAAATAAATAGGGCTTTAGGCAACACTTAAATTTATTTAGACATTTAATAATCATTCTTGACAACGATCATTATGTAATAATTTTCTTTGAAAAACTATATTTTAACAGGCAGGTGGAAAGAAATTCTGAGAAATATCACATAGATGTCACGAATTGTTAATAATGAAAAGGTACTAGTTGTAAGTGGCATTTTGCCTTAAGGAAAATTTTTGAGTTATAGTGTTATTTGAGTACTCTTTTTAAATTTTACAATGTTAAAAAAAATATTTAAAAAACCACTATTTTGACGATTGCTTAATGTCTAGAAGGTGTAGGAGGGTTCGGATAAGATTTTTATTCTAGTTTCAATTTTTGAAAAATTTTCCCCATATTTTGGAAACAACTAGACCTGCCTTCCCAAAATATAACTAGTTTTTTGAACGGTAAACTTTCCCTAAAATATTATTTTCACTTCATCATTTCAAGTTCAAGTCTAGATTGTATATGAAATGAATAAAAGGTTTTAAAGGTTTAAAAAAATAAAATGAATAAAAAGTTTATGAATAACACAAATAAAAGGTTTTTTTTAAAAAAAAAACAGTGTGTATTTATGCCTCCGAAGGTTAAAATAACTTTACCACATATTTCGTTTTTTCTAGCAGATCGCAGAACTAGGAAAATATTTATCATTAATAACACCCATCAAAGGACTAGAAAAGGAAATGATTTTGTGAGAAGTACATGAAAACTCCACAGAATCGTTATTATGTAGAAAAGTCTCATGTCATTACTATTAAATATCCAAACGATGACACTAATAACATATGCCGGAGTTATTAACATTACCTAGGGCAAACTAACGGCTTATGGTAATTCAAACAAATTGAATATTATTACATTGGAAGATTTTTTTTTGTTCGATGGGTGCATTCCGCTTTCCACGCGAAACACGCCACTCGCAATTTCACAAAGCTAACAAGACTCATTATAATAAGAATGATTTTACGCTTTAGAAGGATCGATGATAGACAGAGAGTTGGACAGTAATCTTTCTATAAAATCAAAAAAAGTTTGCATAAAGGTCATACAAAAATTGCGAAAAAATCTGGAGATTTCAACGCTTCAAACCCAAAAAAACTAGATTTCAAAAATCGCGCAATAAGCAAAAATGAGATGACCAATAAAGTCTTCTGAAAGTGTGCTAATAAATGAATAAATTTGATATTTTATATCCCATAATAAATTGTACCAACAAAATGATACTAGATACAATGTTTTAACATTGATTCTAAAAAAATAATTTAAAAATTATTAATTCTTCTTTTCCCAGGAAAAAAACGGTTTACCAGCTATAAGACCAACGCATTAAAAATGCACGCAAAACACACAGAAATACATGCTGAGTAGTTAAACAAGAAATGACAAAATCGATACTCAACTTGGCATTTTTCTCATCAACGATAATTGTAAGTCTTGACAGGATATGTAAATATTTTCTTCAACAGTTCTCTTATCTAGATTGTACTCGTTTAAATTTATTATGTATATCAATGTGCTCTTGGTGAGCAAACGAGGCAGTAAATGAATTCTTTGAAAATATTAAAATTAAACACAGGATGGTACATAACTCGATGATGATCAAAACATAGGGACAAGACAACAAAAATAATCAAGGAGAGTTAATTACATTTCTAAAACTTGAAATTGTAATGGCAATAATCAATAAAAAGATCAATTTGAAATTGACAGGCATGTTTCCTTGTAATGTAGAAAACATGCCGATCTTTAGAAGATGATGTGTGACTTCCTTTTACTTTTTAATTATTGTTTAAGTCAGAAAACCATTCGTAAATCACATTAAAAATACTCAAACTCTTCTATTTAGATTAATTTGAATATATAATAATAGCTATTTATATTATATAGATACACAGGTATCAGTAAAAAATTTCTAAATTTCTATCTATGTTTATTATTGTTTATTAAGGAGATGGCAATTTATAAATCCCACGGTTTTATACGTTATGCCAAGAATTGCTGACTTTTGCATTAAAGATAGTAGGAAATATGACTTTTCCATTGTCGACAATGAATAATATACGATTGTAGCGGTATTAGAAGTAACATCCAGCTGAGATCAATTTAATCTACGACTGAGCTCGTCTGTTCGATTTAGAATCCGTCAGATTTGTTGGGAGTTCAACATTTATAGCAAGATGGTCAACATATTCTCACGACTTTGGTAAGAGAACAAATTTTAGAAAAAACTCAAGCATAGGAATAAAATATTTCAATAAAATAGTCTCGTTGCTATCATAATTATTTATAAAATTTCCGATGGCCTAATAATAAAATTTTGATCTCACTATCTGAAGATCATCAAATTTTTGCACCAAGACATTTAGAGGCCAATTCTCGGATAAAATAGAAATGTTATGTTACGGGTCTGTAATCGTATAAGGGGGCGCCCATTAATCACGTGATCGAATTTTTATGAATTTTTGGACCCCCCTTGGTTGATACATCGTGATATTTAAAATTACACCCCCCTTCCCCACCGACCATCACGTGTATTTGTAGTTACGTAAAATTTTTCGAACAAATTTTTGAATTTACGAAAAAAGAAAAATTTTTGCTTTTTTCTGAATATCTAGGTAAAAAATAAATACACCTGATGTCTTATTAGACTCCTATCTCCCCCACGTGATTTTTTGTCAAACCCCCTCTACCCCTAAGCCTGATTAATAGACGCCCCCTGAGTTGGTAGTCGCAAACTGTCAAAAAACGTCTTTGCTCTATGATCAAGCGTTTCAAAAATAAATCCAAACTTCAAAATATTAACTTTGATTAAACATCCCGTATGTGTTATCAGAGTGATAACCAAAAGTTGCACTCATGATATAATTATTATTTGGTATCTGTGCCCTTTGAAAGTAAGGTTTAAGGTATGTGTGAAACTCCCGATCTAACACAATACCATTTTGACCACCAACGCAAGAATTTGCCTCTTATTGCAGGTCAAGAGCTAGGTCATCTAACTGTGCGGTAAATTATTATACCATTAACTATAACTAGTTAATATATGCAACCCTTACTATAATTGACTATTAGATAAACAATCTACCTCTTTCTCCATTAACAGTTAATGTGGATCCCCTAGAAGACCCATCAGCGGCGCCGCCATCAGAAGCGTTTTCTGAGGGGGGTGTATGACTAAGTTCCGAGCTTAACTGATAGGGGTCCCTTGGAAGAGGGTACTGCTGGTGGGTCAAGGCAGCCCGCAGGTGTTGGTTGTATTCAGAATCTACGGGGGTTCCTTGGCCTCCCATGCCATAGACTGGGTAGCTACGCACTTCTTTCGCTGGAAATAGAAATAAGAAAAAATTGGTAGAAAAAAAAACAATAGACTTGAAATTAAAATATTATGCTAGCAGGACAAAAGGTATACATAAAAACCATAATTTTTATAATTTATAAAATGTCCAGAGTTCTGTAACAATTAGAATTAATTGGTTGAAAGTGGCATTTAGCCTCAAGATAAGTTGCATAAACATCCTGAAATGTGTAAGAATTGACTTAGTCAATCGAAATTGAAATTTAGATATTTAGATAAAATCCGTTTATTTCAAAAATAAAGTTATCGGCTTTCAATTAAATCTAAACATTGCGATTTCCAACATAATTTTTTCAAACACATTTACATTATCTGTAATTATACTGCACAGACACGTAAAATTGTAGCTTATTCGACTCGTCATATCACAAAAGCAACTTTTGACATAAATTTTGACCACAATATTTTCTCAAACTCTGATAAATTTTTAACATTGAACTATTAGTCAAGAGTCGTAACATTTTAGTATGTTTTATAAGACCACGATATCTATTGCCAAAAAAAGTTTTATAAAAATTCGCAAATTTTTTTAGCAGTTAATTTCAAGAAAATGGCCCAGTAGATTTTTACTTAAAACTAATCAGTAAGATTCCCAACCAATATCTTTCAAACAGTTTATGATTTTTTAAAATCGATTCAGAATTGAGAGCTAACGTGAATGAAAAATTTTTCACTTTTCTGCTATTTGCAAAGAAACGGCTCAGCCGATCGTCGCACAAAACTGAGAAAAGATAACCCACGTAGTAATACATCGATCGGCTTTTAAATTTTTGAAATCGGTCCAACTGTTTTTGAGGAAACCTCGATTTACGGCAAAAACACACACATACTTTTTCCAAATTTGGTCTCATTCGATTCAGCTCGAAACGTCGAGAAAACAAAGTTAGCAAATTGTTTTTTTTTATAAAAACAAACTTTTCCTTCGGGAAGTTAAAAAGACAAATAGCCATTCATGTATAATATTTGACTAATATGGTGAATTTTTATATGATTTAATATATGAACATTATGAAGTGAATTAAAGTTATATAGCAATTATTAAAATTCTTCGAAATCTGCCCAGTTTGAATAAAAACTCAACTTCTAACAAGTTCAAATAAATTGTTCTATTACAATTATACATATGAATATATTAAAAACTCCCCAGGAATTCTCCCCATCGTATGCCATTTTGCTCGGCACGAACTATTGGAAAGCTCAAAGCATGTGTGATAAATCATAACATATGATTAAAACGGGCATTGCATTAGCTAACCATCATACGTAATTAGTTATTTCATAGAAAATCGCCATAATAATATGTGCGAGTATAGAGTAGCGGCTCAGTCAGTGATATTTTAAGCGGCACCTGTGCACGGAGGACTCGCGTGCTGCACGAAGAGGCCATCGACGGATTTTACAAGTAGGAAGCACCATAAAAATATGATCTGAGAGGACTCGCTAATGGTTTATTTTTAATATTTTATAGTTTGTAATATTGTCATGGGTGGCCAACCAGGATACAGTACCTACTTTGGGACAGGCATTGCTTGGTACCTATTTACTACTTGGGTACCAATCACTTCTTAGCGACGACGAATGAATTTGTACTCCGCATCTACTTTTTGCTCATAAAAGGAAGTTTATGTTTTTTCTTTAAATTAAAATGCACAGATAGAATAAAATCTAACAAAACTTAATTGAAGTTATGGTTGGAACCAGAGTAGGCTATCCCCATAATCGGGACAACCTGATATGATGAGTTTTGATGAGCCTTAAATAATGTTGCCAAACTGGAATATATATGAAATGTGTCTGTCGTTGAGTGGAAGTAAAAAATCCGCTCTAGCTCATAAGTTGTTTCTTGTTTCAATAAAATTAAGAGTTGCCTCCACAGACACAGTCAAAGTGTGATAGACAAAGTGTTATGGCCTATATATAATAATAAGAAATTTCAATGATAAACTCGAACATATACTTCAAAGTGAGAACTAGCTCATTAATTACAGTTTTCTATCATTAATCTGCGTGAAAAAAATTTTTCCAAAAAAGTTGACAATTATTAACTTCCCGTAGGGCAAGTTATAGTAATCGCAAAAAAAATCGAAAATGAAATTTTTATATATATCTTTATGTTTCAGAGGTTTCTGAATATTTTGGCATACCTTAGAAAATATGGATGTATGTGTGTGTGCGTGTGTGTGTGTTCGGATACAAATTTCGTCGACGATTTCGGCAACACGGATGAAGCGATTTGAATAATTCAAAAAACATTCGATTCCTATTGATAAGGAGACGTGCTGATTAGTTTTGGAGAGGCAGGTCTTGCCGTTCCGAAAATTTGAGGCAAAAAGTGCCAAAAACGGTAACTCAGTTTTTAAGAGCGTCCGATTTGAATAATTAAAAAACATTTACATGTATTAACAAGATGAAGAACTGATCAAATTTCATGCCATCTGGCCATGCCATCATTAGACATATGCACATCAAATTATCAGATATTTATAGAGATTTTAACAATAAGTATAAATTTTGTTCACATTCCTGTGGGTTCCGTACCAATGTTTATCCGTTAGACGGCGGAGCGGTGCTTACGCGCTTCGATATTTCGTATCTATGCAGTTAAAGCAGTACGATTGCTTTGAAAATAGTTCAGAATTTCCAAAATATTTCAAAATATATTTTTCTTCAAAAAGTTTTTTTTTTCAAGAAAAAGTAAATTTTTGTCGAAAATTTATAGTTTCTCAAAAATCTATTTTTTTCAGAGTAATTTTTTTTCAAAAATGTTAATCTTTTTTAAAAACAATAATCTTTGTACGGGAAGTACCAGCAATTTGCCTTAAGGCACGATGCCATGCGCCCCAATAGTCTTTGAATATATTTTATTATATTATTTTCTATTACAAAGATAAAAAATTGTTTCATCCTAACGTGTACAATCCCTGATTTATATATATTTTTATTATGTTCAGTCATTCAAAATGCATGTGTTGTACATGTTCTCTAAAAAAACATGATGTCTATG